TGACTTGATTTTTTGCTGTCTCCATTGGCAGGACAGCAAGGAATGGCATGTAAGAACAAAGCAGAGACAACTTTTACTGTTCTGCTCACTGTGTATGTTCTAGCTTCTCAAACACTTATAAATGTTTCTCTTCTAGGATGAAGATTTCCTTAATTTAATTTTCAAGGCTATGATGAAGGATTCCTTGAATTCTTCACATCCAGTCTCTTCCGCTGTTCAGTCTTCAGAGCAAATTGAAGAAATGTTTGATACACTTTCTTATATCAAGGTAACTTTAAAAATTATTTTAAAAGTGATATATTAGCTATTGTAAACATGAATGTGGAATCATGAGTAAGTAGGCATGTACTGACAATTGTTCGGGGGTAATTTACACCTAGCACAAACAATGCAGGTTCTTTTAGTAGTGTTTCTGAATGTCTATTTAGCTTTTAATTAGGTAAAGATGATGTATGTGTATTTGTGTCCTTAACACCATTCTGCTTGCTGCATGCTTCAGCACAAAGTAAAATACTGTGTCATGTGATTTTGGTAGTATTGGGGTAAAACCTTTTACACCTTTTGGATTAGCTGTCATTTTTTTCCCCCACTATCTGTCTATGCTTGTACTGTCATCTAATAAGAAACCATGGGGACAGCTAGTGTTTACTTGAAAACAGTCAAATACTACATCTTCATCTGCTCAGTGGAATGCAGCTATCTTGGTTTGTCTCCTCTGATTTCTTTTTGTAAGTCTCGACTGATCAGCATGGGTTGTCTGGCATCCTCAAGTAGTCCGAGATGCCAAATGAACCTACAATAGTGATGTGCCTCCATTTATTTTGATCTCTGTTTTCTGAACTACAGGAACAGAGATGTTTGATTTTTCAGCTTCATTGTAAAGCTCTTCATTCATGCATGCAGTCTTTGTATTCCACTACTCTTGGCCTTGAAGGTTAACTAACACGATTGGCAGTTTAAGTGAGAAGACACTTGCAACATGGTCCCTAATCAGCTAAGGATGGTCTGCCATGGAACTGTACAACTTTCTTTGTTTTACTATACTACCAGCTGACACAGATTAGTTGGTCATTGCTACATTTACTGTCTGTAATAGGAATTATTGTACAAAATTGTTTTTAACCTGGTTCTTATGTAGATTGTCAGTAAACCTAACACTCAAGGGTGGGACTACAATCCACCTGCAACCACAGAGTGTTTGGGAAGATAAAACATTAGGAAAAACAAATTAGTAGAGCTATAGCTTAGGTATGGATGAATGCAAGAGAAGAAATGACGAACATATTATTAAAAAGTATAGTAGAGGTATTCCTGCAGTTTCATGAATAATTACATTAACCAGGCAGCCCTCAGTTTCAGGCAAGATGTTACTTAAATTCCAAATCTTGAATTTGGAATGTGTAAGAACCATACATGCTCTCATTAAAATATTTTATTTTTTTTCTTGATCCTCTATCAACAATAGTACCAAAAATACAAAGTACACCATTAAACTTTTCATGACCTATGGCTGCTCACTGGCATTCAGTTGTACAGTATGCAAGTTCTCAGGCAATTTATTTATTAATGGCTGTGACACAGAAACATTTCTATGAAAAGAAAATGGCTTTCAGCTATATTAAAAAAGGCAAAACCAACACCTTTCTGTCTACACATTCGTGTCCACTTTGATACCAGAACTACTCAGTTACTGCTTTTTTAAACAAAAGATGATTGTATTTAAACACAGTCAAAATGCTCTTTTCCTCCTACAGTCAATTCCAGCCTACTAAGTATATCTCATCTCTTTCCTCTATTTTTAGTTTTATGATATAACTGAAAATCTTATGACTGTTAAAGCACTGACTCATAAATGCAGCTATTGAAATATGGCAGCCAGCAGAGACATATAGTAAGACGGCAACATTTTTGAGATTATGTTAATTAGAAAAAATGTTAAGATCTATTAGCCTGTTTTGTAACTCTGTTTGGAGCTTCTGAAATATTAAAAAAATATTTTCCCAAGGGAGCTGAGTGTTGAGGTAATTATTCAAACGATGTCATTTGGAATAAAATCTGCTAGCTTCTGAGTTATTCTTGCACTGTGAAGGAGCTATAATATACATATGCTTTAATTTACCAATTCTTTCTCTCTCTCTTTTTTTTTTTTAAGGGGGCTTCCCTTCTTTTGATGCTGAAGCACTATCTCACTAAGGATGTTTTCCAAGCTGGCATTGAGGTATACTTGCATAATCACAACTATGGATCTGCCCAGAGTGATGACTTGTGGGACAGCATGAATGAGGTATCCATCCTTTGATATGGTGTTCTTGTTTTTTCACTTCTCTGTGTTATAGATTTTGATTTATTTCCTTGTTTATGAAAGAAATAAGATAATAGACTACAGGTAAATACTCTGAAGTTCTTGTTCATCATAGTCCAAAGTTCTGTCGTATGAATATGAAGATTCCTTTAGCTTCTAGGATATCGCTGAGTATCATCCCAAAAAAGTGCTCGAAATGAGTATGCACTGCCATGCATATCCACATGTGTGGACATATCAGTATATATGTAGGCTCTCTAGAGTTGCATTGTTAGTATGCTAAGACCAGAATTATAATAATTATCTTAAATGCAGGACAAAAATTAACTTTCAAGGAATAGCTGAATCCAAACTTTGTACGCCTCTTGGGATTCTCTCTAGTAATGCGATAGCTTGTGTGTCAGCAAGCAGTGCTGGAACTGTAAGAAAACAGATTGTTGGGACAGTTTAGTTCAGCACCTCTCAGATAGCGTGGCAGGCATAAGGATGTGCCTGATTAAATGGAGTGGGGGGTTGTTGTGGTTTAACCTTATCTGCAATTAAGTACCACACAGCTGCTCGCTCAACTCCCCCCACCTCCTCCCATCCCGCCTGCACCCAGTGCAGGAGGAGAGTTGGAGTAAAAGACAAGGAAAGCTCATAAAGTTGAGATAAGAACTATTTAATAATAGAAATGAAGATTATAGTGATACTAATACTAACGATACTACTACTAGTAAGTAATTAAAATAATAGAAAATAGAACATATGATACAACTGCTCACCACGCACCAACCCACACAGAGTCGGTCCCCAGAGGAGTGAGAATCCCAGCCTGAGAGCCCCAAAACAACACACAACCAGGAAAAAAAGCCAGCAGCCCCCCCCCACCCCACTAACAAAGGAACCTGCCTCACTGCTAACAAAGGAGCTAATGATCCTCTGGCCTTTGGGCCAGCCCACAGCACTGTGAAGGAAAGGAGCTTGCTCCTGCCTGAAACCAGCACCGGGGGGAAAAGAGCAAACACAGTCAGCAAGCCTGTGGGAGATGGGGAGGGCAGGGGTGAGAGATTGCATGTGGTTAATGAGGGAGAGGCAGCAGGTTGCGGGGGGAAAAGAGCAAATACAGTCAGCAAGCCTGTGGGAGATGGGGAGGGCAGGGGTGAGAGATTGCATGTGGTTAATGAGGGAGAGGCAGCAGGTTGAGGGGGAGGGTGAACAAGGAAGGAGTGAGGTGGAGGGGTTGAAGGGGGAGAGAATGCAGGGGAAGATATGTACAAGAGGGAGAGTGGAAGAGCGAGCATGGTCCCAACAAGAAAGAGCTGCTGAATATCCTCAGCGAGTGACAAGGTGGTGGTATAAGGAAAGGGAACAGATTTTCATGTGAAACAGTACAGTATGTATTATGTCTCTGAAATACGTTAGGTTCCCTCACAGAAGCTGAGTGCTAGGCAGATGCTAACTTAATCATAGAATCACAGAATCACTAGGTTGGAAAAGCCCTTAGAGATCATCCAGTCCAACTGTATCTGTCCGCCACTAAACCATATCTTTCAGCACCTCATCCACCCGTCTGTTAAACACATCCAGGGATGGTGACTCCACCACCTCCCTGGGCAGCCTGTTCCAGTGTGTGATAACCCTTTCAGTGAAGAACTTCTTCCTTACATCCAATCTAAACCTCCCCTGGCGCAGCTTGAGTCCATTCCCCCTCGTCCGATCATCTGTCATTAGGGAGAAGAGACCAACACCCACTTCTCCACAACCTCCTTTCAGGTAGTTGTAGGCAGTGATCAGGTCTAGCTTTGGTTCTTGGCATCTACCTCATGATACTTATGCTGAACTGGACCTGCTGTTATTGTCAGCTATCACAGGTGGCTGTAAATTTGTGTGTTTAGTCATACACAGTCACTAGTTTGCTGTGAAAATGCATAGTGAAATGCACAATTATTTTATAAGTCTTTAACCTTATCTGTGGAAATTGACAAAGTTTGAGTGAAGACGAGAAAACTGCATGTAAATTGAAAGAAGTATCTGTTACACAGCAAGCAAACCTTTTGTATACCTTGCCTAGAAGGAAGAAGTCATTTTCATGTCTGGCTTTAACTAGAGTTAGAAGCTGCTCTTCAAAGAAGATAATAAAATCAGTTAATGTCAATACAATTTTTGCTATGATGAAACTGTGAACCTATAATTTCTAATAAAGTGCTTTAATTTCAGGTGATTGGAGAGGGTTCTACTTTGGAATAGAACAATTTCAGTAGAGCAAATTTTGAATTTACTCATGTCTCTGTACAGATTAGACACAAATTTTTCTGCCAGTCTTTAGGTGTCTTATAATGTTAGTGCAGAGAGACTGAGATGCAAAACAATCAAGTTGACAAGGTGCCAGTAGTTGACTTAATTAGTTTCCTGATCTCTTAATAGTTCTTTCATCTTGAGTTTGGGGTTTTCATTTTTGTTGTGGGTTTTTTTTTTCCCCCCTTTGGCTGGCTAGCACTGATTTTGCAGATTTCTTTGTGGGTTCAAAGTGTAACAGGAAGGAAAGGAAAAGCTAGTGGCAAAAGAAAGAGCATGGTTTTGGCCCATCTTAGGCAATTTAAGAAAGGATCGCATAATGTAACATTGTAGTAACAATGATTGCTTGTGATAATAAAATGGAGGAAGAGGGTTTAGCCAAGAGTGGGTTTTGGGAGTAAAAAACATGTAGACTTCAAATTCTATAAATCTTAAACTTTTGATAGAGAATTGCTTCTCTGGAATTGAAACCCCTATTTAAAGTTTATGGTCATTCTCTATGTAAATAATGTGTCAGTTTACCATGAGGTTGAACTGTACATGTTATTGTTGGCTTGAACAGAGAACAGTGGGTTTTAAGATGCTCATGAGGTAAACTAGAGAAAGCCACAGTATAGATAAGTGAAAGTTATGATACATGATATATATCATATATAAATGATATATCATAGCATAAATCAATATATAAATGATATATTAATTTCTTTATATTCCTGATAGCTCAACCTAAAACATATTTTCAGAAGTTAGGGGAGGCTGTCTTTTTCAGGTTGGATGATTATCTCTGCTAATAAAGAGGCAGTGGTATGTAGGCATTATAAAGTACTTGTCCCTCAGTGAGGATATTGTAGTATAAACAGTTCCTGAAAGATTAGAAGTGGTTGGAGGTTAAGCTATGCAAAGGCTATTAAGTGGGAGGGGAAAAAAAAAAGACATAAAGGATATGCTGGTTTTGTTGTACAAACGCCATCACTTTATTTCAATTTCTAATATTAATTTTGGAATTAAAAGAAGATCTCTTAACTGAAACACCCACAGAATATCAGAATATCGGTAAGGAATGACAGAGGGTAGGAGGGAGCTTGGGAGCTTGCCATAACTTTCTTTTCTGTAACATTCTCTTCTCCACTTCCATGACATACCAGTTCAAACTCCCTGATGTTTCCAATTTGTCTTTCTACTGCATGGATAGGATTCCTTAAACTCAGAGAATAAAAACCACTAAATTGTTGCTTAGATAATTTATATGCTCACTGTCAAAGTGATCGTTTAGAGATGCAGAATCGTGCCATTCCTTACTTGGTAAATTAAGGAGTAAGGTTTTAAAATGTGTTCTCCATTTGCTATTTTCTTGTTATATTATGATTGTTTTTTACAGATTACCAATGGAACCCTAGACGTAAAAAAGTTGATGAAAACTTGGATTCTCCATAAAGGATTTCCTTTAGTTACTGTTGTGCGAAAGGGAAAGATTATTTCTGTACAACAGGAGAAATTTTTGTATTGTGTGGAACCAGAAAATTGGACGTCAGATGCAAGGTTATTACCTTCTTAATAGTTTTTTATCCATAAAAATCTACCTGCAGATACCTTTCTTGGATCTTCTACATCTTTCTCACTTACATTCAGGGGTTCTAGTATTTTGGAGGCAGGTAGTAACAGAGAATTTAGCACAGAAATTCGCACATCTAGTATCTGCCTGAAGATACAAGTCTGTTTCCACCCGAACAACTGGTAAAAACATGTGGTGTTCTTGGTAAGCTGAGATTCTAATTTGCATCCTTTCCTAAAGCTCTTAAGCTTGAGATGATGAGATGGGGTAAAGAGCAGAATAAATTTTTCATTTTTTTTAATACCAAAAGGCAGATGTCACAGGTAAAGTTTTCTTCTAATTTCAGAAAGTTTTGTGTGGTTAATGAAAGCTGAAGAAAGGCAGATGCATATATCTTTAAAGCTTCTGCTCCTTCTTGTCATAATTCAGTGTACATCTTGGGCTTTATTATGGGACAGTAGAGAAGCTGGAAACAAAGCTTTCTTGGCTTAAAAATTGTAAGATGGCACTAATGCATGGCAGTAAATGGGTGAATATCTGAGAGAGGGATTATCCATTGTACCAGAAACTAAAGGAAGTATATATGCAAGTGCTGAAAAAGCAAAGATGTGGCAGGTGCTAATTGTAAAAATTAATTTTCTGCAAATATGTCTTGTATTATGAACTTTACTGTATTTTCTAACAAACAAAAATATGCAAGTTTTAATCTTTTGGAGATTTTGGTGGTTTTATTCAGGTATTTCAGGTCTTAACAGGAACTGAGTCCTCTGCATCATCTTGCAGAATCAGGCCTATAAAAGGAATTTGTTTCTTGAAATGTTGGAAGTTACAGGGCTTTGCATTCTTTTTGTTATGTGGAGGAAGGAAAGTGATGTGTGGTTGAAAGGTAAGGGAAGAAGGAAGGATTCTTAGGCTTAATTATTCTTCTGTTTCTAGTCAGTGTCAATTTCGGGAGTGCATGAAAAGCTTTTGAAGAAGAATGCTCTGTGTGAGTCATACACAGAAGGGGTTCTTGTCAACATTGGAATGCCTATGTGCAATTTGTTTCATGTTAAAGTTGTGTTTTCTCTAAATAGTCAAGTTCTTATCATTATAAGCCACCTTAGCATTTATTCTTCCAGCTTGCAGTTCACTTGAGAAGTGTTTGTGGTATAAAATCAATTACGGTTTATATTACCATGATTTAGAATTTGAGTCTTGTACTTAAATAAACATAAATTGTATTTAAAAAGAAAAAAAGAAAAAAACAAACCCCTAAACTTGAAAAATTTCAGGAAGATAAAACATTGGACTGAGGTGAAAATATTACTGTCTGAATTTCTGATACAGCCAGAGATTGCCTGTCCAAATGACGTTTGACAAGCTATTTGGCATGCTGAAACTGAGGAAGAAGTATAACTGGTGTCCCTCAGGGGTCAGTGC